AGAAGTAAAAAAGGGCCCTTAATTGTGTTAGACAACTTCTAACGTAAGTCAAGCAATTTGATGTTAAAGCTCAAGACTTCAGATGGAGACATGAAACCAAATGAAACATAAATCAAATAGCAACCCCTCATGGTTATGCAAATTCAGGTGAGTGTCATTATGTCAAACACTCCAACTAGAAGAACTCCATAAATATGGAGGCTGTAACCTGGGGTCAGATAGGGCTTCTCTTCTTTATACAGGCAAAAACTTCCACCTCCTTAATATAGGAGTTGGTAGTCTTCATCATTGTAACTTACAGGACCAAGCAATTACATTATACCAGGTCAGTGTGTGGTGAAAGTAAATTTCCATCAAAATCAGACTGTTCCCACCAATAATGAGATACTACTATGAAGTGATTAGGTGTGTACTATCAATTAAAAACAACAGAGAAGAGTTTCTCAAAGAACATGCTTGCTCAGGAATCCCTTTTCTCCATTTCTCCATTTAATTAGTCATTGCATTATAATGAACAAATTCATGCAATAATCGTTGTCATTTTAATCATCAAAGCTGAATGTACATTCTTTCTCATTAAATAAATTAAATACAACAAGAGATGCTAACCAGGTTGTTTCAGAACTCCAGGAAATGCTCTTTTACATACATGCCAAAACAGGCAAAATATTGTTTTCTTACAGCAAAATTCTGTATCTTCCAGGCTGTGTTACAGAGTGTAACAGAGCCAGAATGACCTAAGGAAGGAGGAGAAGCATGGTTTGCTGAGACAGTATCTGTTAGTAAACAGCTCTCTCTAGATACTTGTCATGTTTTAAGCAGACTTTGAAGAATTTCTTACTAACAAGCTGAATGCTTGGAAAAATGTTGATTGACAGCTACAAGGGTGGAAAATTTCCATTTACTTGTATGGCATAAACATACACTTTCACCCTGGAAATAGAGACCAGGAAGCAGAGAAAAACCACTTCTGAGGTGTTTTCCCCTGGGCAGGGGAAAACTCTTCTCTTGCACGCCTGAGAATCAGATTCAGTTGCATTTTGTTGCAGAGTTGAAGTTGTACAATGCAGCTGGCTTATCTATACTCCTAGTTTGTGTAGAGGGATGGAGAGAAAAAGGGAAATCCTTCTAATCACGTCATCACAACAAATCAAACACACAGGATTTAAAAAGCCAAATTTAGGTATTATCAGTAGAAACGCTTGCCACTGCTGCCTCACTGAGCCTGTCTTATACACTGTACCAAATCTGTCTCAACAAAATGCTGCATTGCATCACCTCACCAGACAAGAAGATTCTAAAAATCAGGATTTTGCAGGATGAGCTTGCACAAAATGTGTGTGCAAAACTGCCCTCTGCTGTTTAGATCGAGACCTGCTCAAACAAACGATTGCGTGACCAAATCAGTTTTGAGCTACAAGGGTCCAAGATGCAAGGAGGCAAAACTATCTGACTTCATCTGTTTTCTGCCTCCATGCACACTAGGAATTTCATACATGAATGCCACTCACAACTGCCTTGCAGCACGGACCATCCTGACAGATCTGTAGGCTGTAGCAACGCTGTGCCGGTTGCAACACTCACTCTGTTAAGCAACTCTCCCACGATGGGTGAGCACCGCCAGACATCTTCTCACCCCAAAGATGAGTTGAGAACAACCCCAGGGTGCAAAGGAAATGATGTAATTGTGGGTGAGCGCTGCATACATCTGTCAACCTGTTAAATCAAGGCCTGAGCTTTACACAACAGGAACAGAAACTGTATGCCTGGAGTCAAAAGCTTATAGCACTGAAGCCTTTATGACTTAAGGATTACTAAGTTACAGTGATGATCACAAAACAGGGTAGCAAGCTCATCAAAAGATGATGAGTAAATATTCTGTGGAACTAGCTCCTGCTGCAAGGAAAGATAACCTGTTTTTTTTTTTTCCATGAACACATGGAAATCACTACATTTTGAAAAAGCTGCCCATTATCTACTGCCAGTACGCTGGACAGTTTGGTACAGAAACATCACAAAAGGGCCAGCTGTTTTCTACGGCTTCACTCACACATTCATACACAGATGTGGCAAATTCTGCCCTCTGAGAAGAGCATCAGATGTTCACATCTTCTTTGGGAAGTTCTAGTTTGGTACAAATGCAGAAAACAAGTAGAGTTACCCACACCAGTTCCATTTCCAGAGTGCCTCCAACAAAAGATAGCCCAGTCCTCGTGAATTATGCACAAGTTTCAGCTCTTTGCAATGGGCTTTTGGTCAGTGCATAAAGAACATTGTAAGCTATGCTGGTCAGTGCAAACACACAAACTAAAACCAAACCAAAACCTGGGTACAACAGAAGCCTTGAAGAATACTTTTTTTCCCCCACAACAGCCCTTTTCATATCCATACGTTTAAATACACAGAAGCATGGGTGTACAGTACAACATGCCTTTGAAACCATCACTGAAAGCACTTAGTGACCACTTCAAAGATTCCCTTGATGTTTAACTCATGTTAACTGTAACACAACAGTCATGTAGGGCCACTGTTCAGCCTAGGGGACTTTAAACACACCATCAACAGATGTACAAATGAAACTTTAGAGAGATTCTTCTGAGTGCATAAATAGCTGGAGCTTTACTTTGATGATGGCTGGCTGGCCTCCTACACAGCAGGCCTGGGACTCCTCCATTTTTCAAGTTAAGGGCAACAATAATATTCTGTCAGCCCCCAGGGAAAGGAAATTAGTGCCAGATGATTCAGTGTGTGCCTGATCACTCTGGTTTTGGATTTGACTCCATTATCTAGAAAGCTTAATGGTGAGACATCAAAGGTAGTCCTGCATGATAATGAAACTAGCTGGATGTTTTTTCTATAAAAGCTGCCTGAGAAGCTCATAACCGACGACAGAAGTCCTCTCAACATAAAACCAACAGACCTCTCCTATCCTTTATAAGAAATCCTTTTAGTGCTGAAAACAAGTGCCTTATTCTTGGAGAACAGAACGGAAGATGGCTCTTTCTGGGAAAAAGATTAGTAGTTTAACCTGCAGTAAAATAAGATTACCGATCTCACCAGCAGCTGCGAGTTCAGTAGCAGCAAATACACAACTGGAATGGCTCATTTTCACATCTTAATTTGCACAGGTGAAAAGAAATGCAGTACTATGCATGGCTAAGGTAATGGCATTACTGCTGCTGATGCAGTGACATCCATCACTACCACCACCTTTCGGATGACCTGTACTTTGCATCTGAAACACCTGGGGACTGTGCATGCTAGCTACACCACTGCCAGCCTGCCACTGTTGGAGCAACAGCAAATTCCCATTCTAGACAACATCTTCCAAGTCTTCAGTTTGTAAGGTCTTAGCTTCACCGGGAGATTTGGGGGGGGAAAAATTCAAGTCTTGTTAAAAGGATTCATTATTCCCACTCTATTAGCCAAGGCACTCAAAACAGGTATCAGAGCTTGCTCTGGCATACTAACCAGGTACTTCTGGGTTATCAAGGAGGAAAATAAATTTGCATTTAAGGCTACATTTAAACCTATGCTATCAAAAATTTTGTTCGTATCTGACTTTGCAGGATCAAGAAAACTAAAAAGGGTTGGAGCAATGTGTGTGCCTGTGATGCTTATTCAAACAAATAACATTTAGAGACATAATCAGAGTATCACCAAGCCTTCCATCAAGATCAGAATTGACACCCACATGTAATTTCACAGTAAGTGCAAAATAAGTCCCTCTAAAATAAATTAAAAGAGCACTTCATCCATTGTCACCTGAAGAATATGGCTACTAAGTTTTACCTTGTGCTACCTGAACAATTCAAGTATAAAGACTAAACTACAGCCAGCTGTTCAAGAAATTTTTGTTCACATCAGCCACTAATTTGTCACATTACAGAATGATTCAATAGCACCTCAAATCTTTGGAAATTGTGTTTTCAAGGGGTTAAGGGGAAAATGACTCTTCCATGGCAAATCATCTAAGCAGACTGACTCAGTAGAACACATTTCTACTCCTAAACTCAGGTATTTCGTTGCTAGGTCATCACCAACTATCCACTTAACCTCTGAAAAATCTGTATGAGGCAATTTCTGAACTGTTCAGGAGAATTTGCCTTTAGAGAAACTTACACCAGGCTGAAATGAGACAGATGAGAATGTTGTCTAAAGTGCTCTCAAAGTACCTCACTTAGACTATGCCACCTTGTACCTTACCATTAATTTATCAGCATCACTAGTACAAACTGTCAGCTGGTCTGAAAGACTGACACTTCAAAGCATTCTCCTCAAGTTGAAAATCAGTCACCATGCCAAAAAGATAAAGCTACATTTTTAATTGTTTCTTCTGCCACCTGAGTGCTGATAGCTCAAACCCAGAGAACAGCAAAAGCCAATCTGTTTCATCATTTAGAAGATCCTATCCATGAAAAACTTGTTTTCACAAGTCCACTTCTGCTACTCCCTTAAATCTGTATATTATTTGCCTCCTTTGCACTAGCAGAGGAAAATTCACCACATCACACCAAAATTTCACAGCATCCAATTCCATTAGCTTTAACTATTTACCTAAGGGATATCATTGTCTTACCTCAGTGCAATTTTTTTCTTAAGGCAAATGCCTTAAAAAGAATATGAACAACCATTTTCTATGGTCTTAAAGACTAGAGACTGAAGTGCTGTCTATGTGGCAAAAAAGTTTCAAGCTTTCAAAAAACAATCTTTGTGCTCTTACAACCTGCCCCAGGTTCTGTTTCAATCAGCTTTGTTTCAGACACCTGCATTAACAGAGCTTTCATGTTTGCCAGATAGTTTTTACTTGCATCCCTTTACATGTTGTTGTTCCTGACAGAAATGGATTTGTCACTCTTTCTGCAGCCAGTCATCTATTACCACTGTGATTTGCTTGTCCTTCTAAGGTGATCTGTTACTGTTTAAATGACCATATGTTTATTTTCTCAAGAAACGCCACAAGGTTTTAAGCTTAATTAAAAGCATTGGAAGACCAGCCATAACATTAAAAATAAATTTTAATGTTGCAATGTTTAGATCATTTGCTCTGACACCCAAATATTCTGAAATTTAAAGTAGTACTATAGGGACACACAAGTGCAGATAAATCTTTATTGCCATAACTTTGTTTTTTTCAAAAATGAGCATTGGGTTTTTAATAGGTCGTAGTTTTATGTCTCATATGTACAACATTACAACTGCGTATTTTAATAATAATGAAGTTAGTGATACTTTGATAACTCAACACAGTGTATTTATAAAATGAATTCTTATCAAAATACACTTTTCACTGGGATAATAAATAAAATCCTGCGAAACCCACCTACACAAAGTTAATTTTAACTCCGGTAGAACCCGATGTGGTACACAGTCCATTAACTACTATGTTTGCCCCTTTATCCCCCTACTGATGCTCATCTTCTGGGGTAAGAAAACTTTTTTTCCCCCCGTTGTGGTGTGACCTCATTCAACATCATCTTCAGCCAAGCACTGTGCACTTACAATTCTCTGTAAGAAGGAGAAAAACTCATTCACAATTACATAAAATTGACAGTAGGCAACTGATTATCAAGCAATGTAATTTTACACTGAACATTAACCAGTGTAATTACTGAGCAAACTGATTAAAGTTAAAAATGGCAATTTATTTGACTTAGGTTTTTGAAGTCAGTTCCACAGAAATTACATACAGTACAATGCCTAACAAAGCCAAAGACAGATAAACAATATCCTATCAGCCTCAAGTGATGATCTCTGTGTGGTTCTGGCTCTGTTCTCATAGGAAACATTTTTGCTCGATTGTTTCCCCCGACATTTATATCTCCTGTACCCTACACTTTTTGGTGTTACCACTAACTATAGGGACCTTAACCTGAAATGTAACCAGGCCTGAGCTGTAAAAAGAGCCAACTGATATCCAGCACTGAGCCTCTGCATTATGCCAGGTAACACCATTAGGGAGTACCCTTGCATTTCCAAGAATGTAAAACGTATTATTTATTATACAACAGACTCACCTGCCAGCATATTACCAACATTACCTGCACAGTACGCAGACTAAAAAGGGAGGGCATTTTATACACAGATCTGCTAACACTTTTCTCATCACAGAAACTCCCAAGCTTCCAAAACTGTCATGTGTTCTGGGGCTAGTTAACATTTTGTTTTTATAGATGTCCCAGAAGCAAAAGGGTAGCAAAAGCAACAGATTAATTTTATTGGACTTTCATAGCACTTACAGACACTTGTAGATATGAAATTTAATAAAAAGCCAACAAACTCAAGACCCAGGGCACTGAAATTACCGCTCTTCTGATTCCCCCAGCTTATATTTGGGAAACAGTGGATTCACTTGTAGTATCAGAGCTGTGGTCAGATTGTCTACTTCAAGAGCTTAGCAAACCCTACACACAAGAGAAGCGTTTTATTTCTACTTTAACCTGTTTGCTACTAGTGCTACATGAAAATTTTTATATTCACTTTTTAATGTCTCAGGTGAAAAAAAGCTTCTTTAAATCTAACTAAACATATTAAAAAAATCAGATTTCAAAACCCAATACTCAAGACTGAGGCAGTGCATAAATGATGTAGTTAGTTCAGTTACTTCGAACCCCAAACAACAGGGAACGCTTCACATACCTGGCTTATTGTAGGGAGCTTAGTTAGAAGCATTTGAAACACTGGTGGTGGAAGAGTCTGCTGTAGAACTTGTAGTAGCTGCTGGGGCTGTCCACACACAGCAATGGCATTGGTCAAGTGATCAACACCTTTTTCATATTCACCTGTATGACAAATCATAATGTTTTGAAATCAACCTTCTTCCACACGGTAACACATTTACATAAAGCACCCATCAACAGTGGATTAAATTCCTTGCTGGGTCTTCTGAACGCAAAAGGTTACAACAAGTAAATAGATTTTCCTAGAAGAATTCGACTCCCTCAAATATCTTAGTATATAAAAATCATCTTCTAGTAAAAGTAAAGAAAAATTATTTCACAATTTATCCTCCAGAAAAAAAAAATTAAATATGCCATCACCTTGAGCTAGCAGTTCCTCGCCAAGTTGAATCTCCTCAAGGAAAAACTTCTGAACCGCATCAGCATCTTTCAGATCAGGCAACTACAACACACAGAGTAAAGGTTAAGTTGGCCCTTAAACACCAGGTAATAAACAGGTTAGCTGAAAACATTCCCAACTGAAATCAAACATGCACACAACCACGCTGTTACACTGACACTGGCAAAACAATATGTGTCACCACTAAGTTAAATGAACACAGAATGTTTTTGAAAATCAGACGCAGGTCTCGTATCACTGCATCGCAAATCTGTAGAGAGACAGAACCTGAAATACCTCTGTTCAGTTCACTAACTACACAATTTTGTAGCAAATACAAATTCTAAGGTGTGTTATGTTTATAACAACTATATTTCTTAAAATTGTTTAAGAGAAACCTTATCTTTTCTTCCTAGTTCCATTGGTGATAAGGAAAGGGAAATCAAATACTTATGGCAAAAAAACATATTAACTTCAGTTATACATGTATCCCATCAATGATTTTAAGTCTGAAAACTCCTTGTGCATCCTATGAAGAGGAAAACTCCCTAAAAATCACACAGGGAATGTTGTACTTGCTAGTACAACTCTCTCTGATGCAAAAAAGGAACAACCGTATTTGTGAGCATTAAAAAACTAAGGACTGCATATTTGCAGAAGTGTTTGTAATGCTGCAATCAAAAAAACCCAGTTGTAATGCTGGATTTAAATAAATCTTACAAATAATACAAATGAAACATCTTTGAAAATAGCACTGCATTATTGAATGCATTATTACCTTGGAAAGCCCTGCTCTCTCTTTGGCAAGCTTCTGTTTCTTCCTTCCTGTAAGAATAAAAGCATCTTAGATTTTTAATTTGCAATTAAAAAGCTCTTCAGATTACAGTTTGAAACCGTGAACAAATCAAAGTTATTTTCAGAATAAGAAACTGCTAATGTATTCCAAACACTGAACACAAGACTGCAGCCCACTCTCTGCGACAGAACATCATTCAGAGGTCTAATGAGGGCTGGCAGTCACACACCAACCCAAAATGGCAACTCTGCTCCTGCGGCTATGGCAAACACCAACCGTGCAGGGCCTGCAGCTCACACACCTCAGGCACTAGAGGCGCACAGAAGCAAGGAGAATCAGTCATACAGGAATTCTCTACAGGATTCCTAACAATAAGCCACACAAGAGCTGTCTACAGGTCAAGGCTATCTAGTTTTGACCTATATGGCAGACCACCAACAGGGACTTCAGCAGGTCACAGCAGATACACTCAGGGTGCACTTTCCCAGCTGCTTTATAGCAGAGGCTTGGGAACCAGGTAATAGGGGGCAGTGTCTCATCATCCCACAGCAAGATGTGCTAAGGGATACATTTCTGAAACCTGAGGAAAGCAAACATCTAGAGATGAAACAAACATGGACAGATTAAACTGCCCAACCTACAGGCAAAAAGCTGGTCTGCTACTAAAGATCTACCACTTTAGCAAAACTAGGGTACTTAAAATGATTGCACGATAAATGTAATTAAAGTTGCTTTTAAAGCAACTTGGCAGGTATAAAGATATTTTTACGGTAACACCTATTCAAACAAGAAAGAATAGTTATACTAATACTGGTAATTTCCTTAGAACGATCATTTTTCTAAGTCTTCAGCTCATCAACTAGCTCATCAAATAGTTACACCAATAAAACTTCTAAATACAGCCTATGGTCAAACTGTCCTCTCACCATTTGTCCTCAGTGCCTGCTCAGAGAACAACTATTGACAAAGAACAACTGTCACACAGCCCTGATTTTTCTTTTGAGACAATTTTACAAGCTGGAAATACGTCTTAATATGACTAGCAGTTTTAAATGGTAATAAAAAATTTTCAATTGTCCACAGGATGAAGACATTTAGGAATGCTATTTCCTAGCAGAGTGATAACATAACGTGTGACATTTGTGGAAATGATGAAGCAATCTTTATATAAAGGGAGTTCACATTCTAACTACATGGACCACCCTTCCTACCTTTCACAACACCTTAAAAACCCTTAGCACCTGGGTTTCTAAAACTTCTTGATCTGTGTACATTATTTTACAACATTATGTTCAGAAAAATGTGTTGTATAGAACTGTAGCGTACTACAATTTTATTATGGTTATTTCTGTTATTAAAGAATTTAGTTTGAAAATTAGTGCTAACTGGCTCACTTCAACTTTTCTGAAGCATTAATTTGCACAGAAGTTGAAATTGCACTACTGTGCAAACAAGTTTCACTAATACGTAAAATCTTTTGGATTAAATTAAAACAAAAGTAGTATTTAACTGCTTCATTATCAAAAGAAGTCACATTGCAACTGTAGTGCATTCAGTGAAAACACCAAAAAGAAGTACAAAGAGTAAGATCTTAACATTGATATATCATTTTCAGAAGAAAATTGTCTTTTCTTGGCGTGATTATGACAGCATCTAAAATATTATAAAAGGTATAATTCACCAGGTTAAGTATTCAGAAATAAAGAAATACAAGACACACAGGTAACTGGCACTATTTAATAAAAGCTTTTGACTACTGATCACTTTTGAAATCATGTACTGTAACCTGAAAACAGTAAAGGAATATGAAGAATCACCAAGATTTAGAAACTGAACACTGAGATGTACTCAATCTTTCAAGTCTGATTACTGTGCAACTTTTCCACTTCGTAATACTCTTTTTCAGGTGTCTTTAAAAAGTCCACTAGATAAAGCAATTACAAAACCCAGATAACTCTGAAGGATATTTAGGAATTCTTCCCATATTGGTTGGTAATGCTAGTTTCAAAATATCTTCATTACCAGTAGCCAAAAGTTACATTTGTAATACCTTAAGCAAAAGCAAAGACTTTGAGGTGGTGGTGGGGGGAAACCCCTCCAAGTTTGTTTTCCCTTAGGGACGTCCCCTCCAAGAAAATTAAAAACTTCCCTCTTTTCTAAAGAGATAATCACATTTTAAAAATGGGAAGGGCAACGTTTTATGGAAGGAATCTTTATTAACATAGAAATGCAGTGTATCCCTCGAAAACTGAAAGCTGAGCTGCAGCTCTCGAAGTGCACAGGACCTGCAGGCCTTCCAGGCCCAGCCCTTGTATATGGGGAGCGAGTTTCCAACATGAACCATGGAAAACCTGTCCCACTGGCATGGGTTGCAAAAAGCCCCAGGTAGCCCCAGTAGCTTCCCAACCAGCCCCACAAAGGAGCAGGAGGAACAAAAAGCCATTTCCACTTTCAGCTCCCACCAGTGCATTCCTGCCTATTGGCCTCTTCTCACACCACTGTCCAGGTAGAAGGTGCAAAATTCAGCTTGGTCAGAAATTTCGGCTGTCTCTGAATGAGAAGATCAGTGACAGAACACATACCACTTTATTCATTCAAGAAGGCAAATATCTAAAATCTTGTAATCGTATCTAAAATCTTGTAATCTTAAAATATAGCTGGGGAACCTAAGCAGCTTCAGATGTTTACAGTTTTGCTATCTTTTGGTCCCAAGACTAAATTGGACATGCCCCCAGAGCAGCAACACTAAACATCTGGCCACCTCATTTTTATGCTGGGCCTTTGCAATGTAAACTTTGGCCCTAACACAGCCCACAGAGATGTACAACATAACCAGGAGGCCAAAACAAAATACTGCTTCCTCATTTGCCAGCACGTGCTTGTCCAAATATGACAGGCAAATCCACTGATTTGTCAGATCTCCTGTCCTTCCCCAATTCTGCTGACATTGCATCACGGAGGCTGCAAAACAATCTTATCCCGAGAAGGTTGGTGAAAAAAAATGTGCTGTAAAGGTGGTTTCTGCAAGTTTTCCATCACACGCCCCCATTATTGCCCGACAAATGGAGCACCTTCACATAAAGAACTGCAAGTGGCTGCTGCACTAGACCTTTTTGGTCAAACAGTTTACAGCCCAAGCCTTACTGTCTACCCAACAGTAGAAATGCTGATCAGTGGCACCAGTGCTGGACCATCCACACTGAAGAATCTGTTACACTACCACAAAAATAAATAAACCCAAGTTCCTTAATACTAACTAAAGCCTTACAACTAAAAGCAGCCCAGTGCATCATGTGCAAGGACTGCAAGTCATACAGGGATGTTCTCCAAATGACAACTGCCACCCTCCAGCAAAACAACTATGGATGTGTTTGCCGCTTTAAAGAACATGACAATTCTTAACCAGAGTGATCATAAGGTTTATTCATGACTGGATAGAGGTTCAGCTAATGAGAACCTGGACTGCAAGACTCTTATGTAATTCAGTATTTTTCCTACAATGTGTTTGGCATCAAAGGAAAACCCCAGGGTTGGTTATACTGCCAAATATCGAGTCTGCTTGAGCAACACAAGCACATACCATCTTACTGTGCTAGAACTTCCCAATGAAGGACTTGCACTGCAGGGAAAAAAGTGCTTGGAAGACACACAAGAGGAATGTGCCTAAAATCCTACACACGTGAGCGAAGGCCTGAAGATGAAATATCTGACAGACATGGCTGGCTGTGGAGGAGCTTTCAGAGAGCAGAATAAATTTGCTGTTAAACATCAACACTGGTCACTCCACAATTCAATCCATCGAGGCAGAACCAAACCTCTTTGGTTGTGTTTTAATGTTATCAGGTAAATATTCATTTACAACCCATCCAGCTATTGACTCTTCCATCCATGGACCTGCTGATCACGTCATGTTTGCTTGCCAGGGAACTTTACCTTAACGTTAACTTCTTATCTTCAGATCAGTTACCAAAGGAAACAGACATATTCCCACAACAGAATCAGCCCAGCACAGCAAACATCAGCTTATTTCTCAGGATTTACTTGAGTCCCTTCAGAGTGCCCGTGCTTACAACTCCATTTAAAACCCTCACTAACTATTAAAACACTTAAATAAATGTTGAAGATGTGAAATAATGAAGAGCCATGGGAGAAGAGCTCTGCATTTTGGATTAATCAACAGTTTTCTCTGGCATTCATTCTTATCCTGGAAGCCAACAGCAGAGCTGCCAGGAGGGTTTAGAATGCAGCCGATGAAATACCTGAGAGCTGCCACCGACCCCTGTCTCACACAGCAACACCTTCACTGTTAGAGATCACTGTTTTATCTGCTCGTCTTCCAAAAACGAGAAAGAATAAGTGTCACCACGTAAAAGTGGTGGCTATAATAGCATGGCTGAGCCTGTAGGAGAGCAGTGTGTGGGGAAAAAAAAAAAGGGGAGGGGGAGGTAAATTATTTTCAAGTCAAGCATCCGAGACGGAAACCACAAGTTACCCAACACCTACAGCAAAGGACGACCCTGCCCACAACCACCCGAAAGGAGGGGGTAGCGAGGCGGGGGCTGCTCTCTGCTACCGTGCCCGCAGGGAGAGGGCCAGAGGACAAGGGCTTAGGCTGAGACAGAGGGCATTCAGATTAGATGCTAGGAAAAAGATATTTTCGCTGTTCGGCTGGCCGGGCATTGGAACGGGTTGCCCAGGGAGCTGGTGCAGTCACCGTCCCTGGCGGTGTTCATGAGCCGTCCGCATGCGGCGCGGGGCGATGGGGCTGAGCGGATTGAGGGTCACGGTGGGAGCGCCGGGCGGGTGGCTGGGCTGGACGGCCCTGAGGGTCTCTGCCAGCCTTGGCGGTGACACCGACTCCGTGCCCCGGCCCCTCGCTGCGGTGCAGGGACGGGAGGCCCCGCGAGCACCGGGGGGGCCCGGCGGGTCCCGAGGGCGGCGGCGCCACGAGCGGCCCTCGCGCGGGGCGGGCGGCCGAGCAGGGGGGACACCGAGGGGAGAGCGGACGGGACGGGAGGGGAGGGGGCGCCCCGGGACACTCACGCTCCCGCAGCCGATTCTTGAAGTTGGGGTCGCTTCGCCTCTTGCGGTCGAAGTAGATGCAGTAGCCGATGAAGAGCGCCCCGCAGAGCCCCGCGGCGATGGCGCCGGTCCTGCCCACCATCATGGCGCCCCCCGGCCCGGCCCGCGCCGCAGCCACCTTGGCCCGAGCGCCCCGCGGAAAGGACCCCGCCGCGCTTCCGCTCGCGTCATCACGCGGCGGCGGCGCGGGGGCGCCGAGCGCGGTGCCTGCGAGGGGCAGCCGAGCGCATGCGCGGAGCGCGGCGAGGGGCGGCGCGCGCGCGCGGGGGCGTGGCCTCGGCGGCGGCGCTGAGGGCGGGCACGGCGGAGGGCGGGAATGGCGGCGGTGACAGTGACGGGTGACAGAGACAGTCACGGGTGACAGTCACGGGTGACACAGACAGGCACGGGTGACAGTGACAGTCACGGGTGACAGTCACGGGTGACAGAGACCTCGGCGTCTGCCAGCACGGCCCAGGGCCACCACCACCCTGTCAATCACACCACAGCACCAATGCCACGGCCGGCCTTTCCTTAAACATCGCCACCTCCTCGGGCAGCCCATTCCAGTGTTTGATCACCCTTTCTGCGAAGAGATTCCACCCCCACGTCCCCACGATGTCCAGCCTAAACCTCCCCTGGCACAGCTCATCCCATCACTTGTTACCTTGATCCCCACCTTCAGGTAGTTGTGGAGAGTGATGAGGTCTCCCCTGAGCCTCCTCCTCTCCAGGCTAAACACTCCCAGCTTCCCCAGGCGCTCCCCATAGGCCGTGCACTCCAGACCCTTCACCAGCTCCACTGCCCTTCTGTGGACAACAACCCAATGCCCAAACCAACAAGTGTATCTTGGTAACAATTACCATTTCATCACACCCGAGTCTGCTGTGAGTCGCTTTTCCTGCAGTCATTTTGGGTAATCCTACTCAACTCCAAAAGAAACAGTTCATAGTTAACCTCTGCGGAAAGAGACCTCAGCTGGAGGTGGATTCCTGGAACGCAGAATAAAATCGTGCAATACTTCACGCTGCCTGCTGGGAGAAGCCAAATGCCCCAGAGCGAACACCAAGAACGACTACAGCTGTATTAGCAAACAAAATTTATGACAACACACTCTTACATACATCAATCTTTATGACACTAATTAGCATTTTTATCTGCTCGATTCTTATCAAAATTCTGTTTGTTTTTTCCAGCTTTTTTTTTAGGAATAGTTTTTAGTCTTTTCGGTTTAATGTTCTTCTTCAATGGGGTTGCTTTTTCACCAACAAAAGAATCATTAGAGTAGCTCTTCTTTTTTGTTGTGGTATCAGCTGTGGCCTTGGAAGCATGAGACCGGCCTGGAATTTTCTGTGGTGCTTTCCTCTTGTCTCCTGTGCGCTGCACTCGTATCTTTCTTCCCATCAGAACAGAGTTGTTGAGCTTCAGAGCAAGATGTACAGCATCTGTGTTCTACAAAAACAGACACGGAGTTCAAAAGCAGCACTGATTCCAATTCACTGCTTTCAAATTAATAGTTACCTTTGTTGAAAATTCGTAAGCAGGATTTTACAATTAAGAGTACTCAAACTGCTCTAGTGAATGACACAAGATCTCTGCTCAGGAACACCAGCACACCCATGCAGCCCACACACTGAGGCACAGAGACCTGACAATGGGCTACAGAACAGCTTAAACGCGACACAGAAGTCAGGGGCAGAGAGATGAAGGAGAAACTGGGGGAAGAGAGGCACTGAACTGCAGGAAATAAACTAAGGAAGATAAGGCTGGGAGAGTATGAGAAAGCAAGATGTACTGAATCAAAAGTGGAGAGTCAGTAAGCAAACCTGTTGCAGGAAAGGATTCCACTGCCATTTGGACACATACGAAATAGGAGAACATTGCAGTTATACCAACAAACTCATCTGTCTCTCCTTTAAGACTTTCCCTTAAACTCACTTCTTTCACCCCGTTTTACAGCTTTTGCTTGTACAACATCTGAAATAGTTTGTTTTGTATCTGCTTCCACAGAACTGGTCTTCCAAGCTGCTTTTAACATACACAACAACACTACCATTTCACATCATACAAGTATATACAAACCCCAAAAAAGTTACTAAAAAGGTAAAAAAAAAATGCTATAAAGGCAGATCCCAATTCAAATTTTGAAGAATTCCCAGCGTGCTGGCAGGCCGTGCACACATACCTCAAAGAGAACATATCCAAAGCCTTTTCCCAGGCCAGTCTCTCTGTCTCTCACAACTCGCACTCCCACGACATCTCCGCAGACCTGGAAGTGTTCTCGCACGGCATCGTCGAGGATGTCTGCAGGCAAGCACAAGGGAACAGATCTCTCTCTTTCGCAACACACACAGCTTTAAAAGCCTGGCCCAAACCCAAATAATATTTCACGTTCACCAATTCAGGTACACGGCATCAGTGGTTCAGAAAAACCCCAGCAAGTTAACAATGCAGACTTTATAAAAGGCTATTTGTTTTGATAGTTACCCATTTGCCTGCTTTGAAGAGTACAACATAAATCACAAATAAGAATGAAGGCAAAGACTGAAATAAATTTTTCAAATAATTTCATTTATGGTTGGAACACAGTGGAAATTATGATTCCTGCTACATTTTTGCAGCTCCTTCTTATGCCGGCATTTCTTTCTAAGAATTACTGCTGATGATAATGAGCTTGAGCTGGCAGTTCTTCAAGTCAAATGCTCAATGACTGCGCTGTGAATTTTAGCTGAATGGGGGAGAAGGGATTTACAGTTTCCAATCACAGCTGCTATACAATTATTTGGATAATAACTGGATATGCAATGCTTTCTCTATCTCATGCCTACACAGACAAGTGTAATGTATCATGACAAAAACACATGTTATTCTCTTTTTTGAATAGTTATGCTTCATACAATCCCCTTACATAGATATCAACATCTCTCTATTAAGGGGAGGGGCTGAACTTAATAGTATGGGTGTAACCACAGCAACGGGACTTAGATGTGCTGAGAAAGGTTCAAGCTGCTGAAGTAACTTCAGAGCATGGCGAATCACAGAGTCATAGAATATTGTGAGTTGGAACAGACCCACAGGGATCATCGAGTTCAACTCCTGGCCCTGCACAGGACATCCCCAAGAATCACACCAGGTGCCTGAGAGCATTGTCCAAACGCTTCTTGAACCCTGTCAGGCTTGGTGCTGTGACCACTTCCCTGGGGAGCCTGTAACATCCAAACCTTTTTCTGCAGCATCACACAGTCCTGACACAAGCTCTACACAACAGGCACTAGTAATATCACCACAATCAGATTTGTCACCTGTCACGTTTTCAGACAGGTCAAGTGTTACAGACTGAGGTTCAAAGCCTGTCTGTTCCAGTGTTACTGTTGCAGTACATGTGGCTCTGCACCAGGCCACAGGCACAGGGCAAGCCTTCATCCAGAGTATTTACACATCCACACGACCCCTAAGTCAGATGCTTGTACCGAGGACCCTGGCTCTTTTAATATCCTCACATAGACCACAACCAATGATGACCCCTTTATCTGCTCTCCAGTCTACTTAGAAGCAGCTGAGTATTCCTCAAGCATTGAACCTCAGCTGCAGGGTAAACACCTCCACAGGGGTAACAACTGATCACCAAGGGCTGTCTGGGCACAGTCACTAACTCTGTGGCTCACAAACAGCATCAAAATGAGAAGCCATCGCTGTCCATCACTTTGAATCAGTTCACAACAGCTACTGGTGGTACCCCTTGAACAGTTCAGAAAGGTATGGCCTGTGCAACTTAGTCATATTTGTTTGAAAAACATCAAGTGACAAAAAGAAGTAAAGCACTCACAGTGCTACCAACAGTAAAGAAAACAATCAACTTGCAGAACCTGACAAAAACTTACAACCCCTTTAGGTGCTTCCATTAACAAACAAAAATTAATACCAGCAAAAGATATTTAGCTACCTAACCATGCCACCCTAAATATCGAGAAATAAAAAACCTAATGTCAACATATTCCATAAACGTTAAGCGACCCGACACGTAACAACCCACTTTTGACCTACCGTATGGGAGATTTCCCAAGAATACAGATCGTTTATTGTCATGCTAAAGAAAACAAGAGAGATGAGACAGCAAGTTATTTGTTACAGAAAAAAAAAACCCAACAAAACAATCAAACAAAAACAATAACCCCCGCAGCCAAAGCAGAAAAGAGTTTTTCTAGTCACACATCTTACTTACTGAACTGGTTTTAGATGCGGTGTCAACTCTGATGTGAAATCCACTAGCAATTTCTGTTCCATTCCTTTTTGTAGCCAAAAGCAAAAAGTTTTAAAAGTGAATTGAGTGTTAATTACCTTAGAATGTCACTGCATCCAAAATGCAGTGTATTCAAAACGCAAAGCTACTTTTAGGTTTGAACAAACATTTTATTCTTGATTCATGCAAGAGTGGGGAGAGTGTTTAAATTTAGCTGCAAATCTCCCTGAACTCTCTCTTCAACAGGGAACGAGGAACTAAACTGAAACTTACTCCTTCAGAGCCTTCTCGGCACCACATTCTTCCTTAAAGACAACATAGGCATTAACAAACTTTGCATTGGGGTGCACCTTGTGCCTGGAACATGAAAAAGACACATTAATGTTAAAATCATTTTGATTATATGCAGTGCACAAGCACTTCTTGTTGGACACATCTATGCCTCTGCTCGTTTCACGCTCACTAACAGCTTCATTTCTCTTATTGGTCAAGCTAGCCCTATGTATGTGCAAGGGAGTCCCACTGCGTACAGCCTGTCTATGCACCCTGAGCAAGCTTCCTCAGCTCATAAACGTATCCAAGGACTATTAGTAACTTCTTCCTTCCTAAAATAGAAGAAATGAAACCTCAGGTAACAAATTACTGGTGCACATGGCGCATAATTCTTTATCACTTATCAAGAAAACTTAATACACGCAAAGGTAATGACAAAAGACAAAACCCCACAAAATACATTAAAAAAGGCCTAATATAGTCAAACTTTTAAAAACCAACACACAAAAATTATTTTGGCCTTGAAAAATAAAGCGTGGAATTCACAAGAGGAACCTACTTGATTGCTGCTACCTTTTTGGATATAGTATCTTCTGCTGGAATCTTTAAGATAAAAAGAACTCGAGTTAGGTGGGGCTAGTGTCAGCTTATCTCAAAGACTCGTTCTT